TGGTACTCCGGCAGTGATGTTGCATGGGCTGTGGCGCTAACCCTCTTCTTGGTAGCACAGGGAGGGACAGTAGTACACCCTAGAAGGGCTGCTCTGCACCAAGGTAGGGGATTAGGGCAATGGTCGCCGGCGAGGCTGTCCGCACCTAGGGGCAGCGAAAGGGAAATTACAATAGATATTTTCTCTACACAGTGAAGAGCAGCTCCTTCCACCATCAATTTACCCAGTATTACGAGTGCAAGAGAATCAGCTCCTATCTATGATGAACACAAAGGTATAAGTCATTTACATGTTCCATAGACAAAGTAATAACCCTCTAAATTAAACCAGTGCTTTTCATTAATGGAACTTCGAAAATACATTTATCCGGGTTTGTTTGTTCAGGTAGAGCCAGCCTTAAATCAAGTCTGTACATAAATGAAATATGTTTAATTGATACACCATTGAACTTTATTGCTTTGCTGAAGCAAGTGCATGTTGCTTTCTCAAAGAGCTGGCAACAATTGAATGTTTTTTGAATTTGCAAGGATCTTGTCTTCGGAAATGGTAGAACTTGCACTTTGTACGCTCATATTGTGTGCTGAGTCGTCACTGGAACAAGACATAAATGTGTAGGTCAAGTTATTAAAAATATCACTTTGCTTAAACTAAATAAAGGAACATGAATATGTGGAGAAATATCTTACAGTAGTCCATGGAAGTTTTGCTTAGGTGGCATGTCCAGTTCATCCAAGGTTCTTTCAAACATTTCTAGAACTTTGGTACTACTTGTATGCACCACAAGCCAATGAAGGTCATCCTTTTTGCTATTTCCTCAATTTCACTTGTGACTTCACATGCTCGCAGTCCATCATCTTGAGAAAAGTGGTCATAAATCCAATCTGGAAAATATTCTTCGCTCGATTTTTCAGCCACCGATTTCACATTTTTCCTGCCCCCAACCATCTCTAACAACATCATTCCATAACTATAAACATCTGACTTGGTTGAAACAACTCCAAATGTCCGAGAGTGAACTTCTGGAGCAATGAACCCAATTGTTCCTCTAGCACCTGTCATTGATAGCTTGCTCTCCTTTGCATGACACAATTTAGCTAGACCGAAATCAGCAATCTTTGGGCAAAAATCCCTGTCTAGAAGGATATTGTGAGGCTTGATATCAAAATGAATGATCCGTGTATTACAACTATGGTGCAAGTATTCTAGGCCACGAGCAATCCCGATTGCTATAGCATACAGCCTCTCCCATCCTAAAATTTCTTTGTGGTTCTCTGAGTAAATATACCTATCCAAGGAACCATTAGGCATGTACTCATATATAAGAGCTCGTTTTGATCCCTCCAAACAAAACCCAAATAAGCTAACAATATTAACATGAGAGGTTCTCCCAATGCTCATAACCTCATTCACAAACTCATCCCCATTTCCTTTGCAGTCATGCAAGAATTTCACAGCAACCAGTCGATCATCATGTAGTCTTCCTTTGAAAACCACACCATAACCACCCTTTCCAAGCTCATGATTGCGAGAAGATGTTATCTTCATTACCTCTGAGTATGTGTACCTTTTGGGGGCTAGTGATCCATATGATAATATCATGGCCTCGTAATTCCTTTCAGTGCCGCTGCTAGTCCTTTTGCTGCGAGACCATAGTCTTTTCCCCTTGGGATGCCTCATCATCACACAAATGCATGGAAAGAGCAAGGTTGAAACCGCTGATGAAACTGTCATTGAAGCAAATGTTAATCACTTATGTATATCACAAGTCATTATATGGACAGTTAAATTTGTAACACCATCAGTAGTTTCAAACTTGTAAGTTGTCCTTCTGAAAGAGTACGAGGTGAAAAACGTAGGAACAAGGTAAACGCCATAGATTTGCTCGAAATTGATCAGTGTTGTATCATGCCCGAATAGAGAGTTGCTTGTCTTAATTTTAATTTTAGAAATAAAGTTCAATGCTTATTGGCAAGATAAGTTTATGAAACTAGTAACATAGAAAAATATAATCCCTGATTAAGCAATCACATTTAAATGATCACATAAGAAAATATTGTGAAAGTTTATCATACCTATTAGTATGAGTATCCTTTTGCTAATCACCTTGATACCTGAAATATCACATAATATTTAGTTCAAAAGCAACATGTCCATGGTAGTACGATATCGGTTGGTTTCTTAAAAGGAAGCACGCGCATGCCTCCCCCCACCCCACCCCACCCCGCCCCACACACACAGCATATTTTAATCTTAAACATCTGCCGACGAAATATACAAAAAAAAAGGGATACATCACAAGGTAGTGAAGTGCCTGAATTACATGTCTATCTTTGTTTTGATACATTAATTAATATGAGATATTGGCCTGTTTAGATTTCATTTCTAGATGATTGTGGAACAGTGATCTATTTGATTTTATTGGACTGTACGCATTATCATGAAAGTTTTGGAGGCCCTGTTAATCTACGCCACTAGTATTGTGTCACGCAGTCTAACAACTGCTGCACCCGTCGACAGTCAAAGTGTCATTGTCGCCGGCTTATCAATTCTTTCTGGTGACCGCAGAATCTTGATTGGTAGATATATATTTGTGTGGAGTGCACAGATCGGAAGGACCATGCCATTACCCCACTAGCAATGACCGACTGTGACAGGTCAAACCTCTCTTTTTCTAGGAATAATGCATACCTCACTAGTCATTTTGTGCTTCAAAATATCTGACTAGTCATTTTAATTAGATGTACTTCATATTTTTGTTTCAAACCAAATCTATATGCTCAAGCTTGTTTGAACTGGGGACTCGGACCGCAATGGCAAGCGATTTCGACCATCTAGACTAAGTGAGAAAAAAAATGTTTCGTTCATGCATTTGATCCTAGTATATATGCATCTAGCACACGGCGCCCAGTAGCTGCTCAGAAAAGTATTTTATGGTTGTGTGTATCATGTGATGCATAGGCCGGGGTAATCCCCTTTTTAGAAGAAAAAAATGACGAAGAGTGAGCTCACCACTACCAGCAGGCGGCTGCCGCCATGTCAGGAGGAAGCCATTGGTGATTAGCCTCTCATAATCACTTGCGTTCGCCTCGCCGGATGCTGCCAGTACCGGAAGGAAGATAGCATTGCATCCCTCTAAAGCATAGCCGCCGTCCCTCTCACTGTAATGCCCTCCTGTGCGGACAAAGGTGTTGTTGCGGCATACCGTCTCCACAAGCCCTGCTCGCCTTACGGTATCCAACGGTGGCGCCTTGGTGCAGTTGTAGAAGATGATGTTCTGATTCATGTTGCTAATCGAGAACGGATGCCCGATTTTGGAGGAGGTATTTGTCACCGGTACATGGCAGCCTTCGTGGCTTGAACTTTCGAAGTCTCCTAGCTTGTGGACATCGGCGACGAGCAAGGAACCGTCGCTATAGAATATGTTGAGGATCTGTAGCCCGAACCCGTGCTCATAGTACCAAAGGTACGGGGTGCCGTTGGTGCAGTGGACCTGGAAACCAAGTTGAGCGCACCTGTTCTCCTCCAACACCGAGACGAGCCCGAACGGAGAAGAAATGGTCAGGTTTCCGCATCGCTCGGGTGAGCAGCCTTCTTGTGCTTGCGCGCCAGGTTTAATGGCTGCGATACAAGAGAGAGATATGCACAGAAGCAGCAATAGGCGGCTGCAGGTTGGGGACATCGGAAAGATAGGAGTTCTGGTGAAGTGGCGACTGGCGACCTATTGCGTGGATGGTACCAATACAAATAAATGGAGGTGAGGAGGAGGGCACGTCGGTAGAATGTGTCCATACAGGGAGTTGTCAAGGGAACCTTTGCCCTCACCACATGTGAGTGAGTGGTTACCAAGGTTTTGGATTCTGAAGGGGAAAAAATCTCATGAGGCACCGAGATTTCTGGTTACCGTGGTAACCCGAATATATTGGACAAATATTTTTGAATGAATTTTGATTTCAAACAAAACTCAATTAACATTCAGTCAAATTCAAAACTTCAGATTTTTTGTTGTTGGGTAAGACGATTTCTCATGGGGTACCGAGATTCATGGTTACGGGGCGGCAACCAAATTTTCAGCTCGGTAACCAAATCCATGGTGGTTACAACGACAAGAAACAGCACACTGAGGAGTAATGGAAATGTGCAAAGTCACTTCTGCTTCGGTAGACCCCCTTAAACACATGGATGGTCCAGATTATCCGATACCTCTTCGTTAGTAAGGACAGGATGGTCGTATTGATAAAAGTAACCCGCACGCGCCGTACGTATACGTATTCTTACGTCCGTGCCGCCGCGAGGCGGTTTTTTTCCATCCGCGGTAGGTAGTTCGATTCCTCTTCCTTAGCTGCGCTTTAGCAAATGTGAGATAGCCACTATGGCCGGCGTGCACATTACGCAACATTTTAGGTGTTTTGTCTTTCATTGCGGGGCAGCCGTGATATTTTTTTAATTTCCGTCTGCACTGTGGCCACGATATTTGTGTTGCGTGCCACGCGTGATGGTTCAACACGACCGGACAACAATCACGGCTGCATCCTTGGCGCGCTGCCGGTTGCCTGCCGCTGCCGCCTCGCCTACCGCATGCCACCTCCCCCACCCCGCCATTAAGTCGTTGCATCGCGCTGCTTGGCCCTGCATTCCCACCGATGCGACGCCTTCCAACCTCTTGTCGTCGCAGCCCACGTCTATAAAAAGCCGGGGCCGGCCAGCCGTCAAACGTCGCCCCCTCCTCCTCCTCAGTCCCCCGTCGCCCCTTCTCTTCTCGATGGCTTGCTCCGGATCTGATAGTGGCGATAACTGATCTTGGCCGTCGACTCTCTCGTGGCCGCAGGCGGAGTTGAGCCACTTCGGGTTGCTCGCTCCACCGTCGGCGCGGTTGCCGAAGGATTGGCACACCACCACCGACGGATATGTATGTTGTTGCCCGGCGCAACACCAGATCAGCTCCACTCCCACGCAAAGCTGAACGGTTTTTAACGCCAAGCACGTTGCAACACGTCCGGCCTCTTTTTTAGGGGTTTTGACCGAGAGAACCATAGAAAATGCATAGAATGTCATAAATGAACGAAACTTGGCATGTATGCTAGCCATGGTGATGCCATTGTGTGGAAACAATTTGGGTACATTTGGTGAAGGTGAAAAAACGTGCTTCGAGACTTGTCCTACCAACAGACCCCAATTGTCCCGGTTGAACATGGTGTATTTGTTGCCATGCACAAAATGACACCAAAATTTGCCAGCATGTGGGCATGCCCATGGCAGCCCCCAATGCAAAAAATGAACGAAAGGTCCCGGTAGAACATGTTTGGTGGAGGTGAAAAAGTGTTGTGAGACTTGCCCTACTGGCAGACTCGAACGGTCCCGGTAGAACATGGTGTATTTGTTGACATGCACGAAATGGCATCAAACTTTGCCAGCATGTGGGCATGCCCTTGGCAGTTCCACACGCAAAATTTGAATGAATTCATACACCGACAACACACGTCACATCTGGCCTGTGTTTTAGGGTTTTTTCACCTTGAAAACCTTAGAAAATGCATGAATTGTTGAAAACCAATGTAACTTGGCATGCATGCTTGCCATTATGTTTCCATTTTGTGAAAAAATCTAGGTATGTTTGCTGGACGTGATAAAAAGTGCTTCGAGACTTGCCATACGGGATACCCGAAAGGTCCAAGTTGTACATGGCGTGTTTGGTGCCATGCATAAAAGGACATAACATTTTGCCAGCGGGTGGGCATGCCCATGGTAGCCCTCCACACAAATTTGAACGAATTCGGACATCGAACACACGTTGCGTCACGTCCGGCCCCGTGTTAAAGGTTTTTTCTCCGAGAAAACCCTTTAGAAAATATGTGAAATGTCGGAAAACAACGAAACTTGGGATGCATGCTTTCGATGTTGTTGGCTTTGTGGTGGAAAAAAAATTGGGTATGCTTGGTGGAGGTGAAAACAAAGTGCTTCAAGACTTGCCCTACCGGCAGACCCGAAAGGTCCTAGTTGAACATGGTGTATTTGTTGCCATGGACAAAATGGTACCAAATTTTGGGAGCATGTAGATTGATATTAATTTGTGTTCAACATCAACTGTTGTGAATTTGTTAACAAATCTATAATAAGCCTTCAAGTTTATAAAGTTTTTATACACAATTTAAAATTCTAAAATTGTTGACAAATTTCAAGAAATGGTTAGGATATAAGAAAATGTTAATGTTGATTGATAATAACGAAAATTGCTAATAACCGAAGCATTTAAATTAGTAAAATCTACATTGAAACCACACATTGACTAGTCGGTGTACGTTTTCGTTCGTTCCTTGAAACACGGCTCATTATTCCTTTTGCGTTTAATTTAATTTTTTTCTGAGGACCGACATGGCGACTCATGCGAAACATGTACGTCATGCGTACAAATAACGTGGAATGGACCATCCATCCATCTTATGCATGCGGACTTTTCCCTCATTGATTTACACGTTCACCTGTACGTCATGCGCGTGACTCGTTTTGTTTTGTTAGCACGGGGACGAGAATGTGTTTTACAAAGAAAAATAAAAAAAATAAAACCAAAGAATAAAATGGCCAAACAAAGAAAAAAAAACGACTGAGAAGATGGACAACAAGAAGGTTAAGAGAAGTAACTAGGCACCACAAGGTAGCTGTCCTAGTTCGTAACATTGTGGAATTTAAGTAAGAGGTTGGGAGTTCGAATCATATGGCAAGTAACTCTTTTTTGACGGTTAAAAAAAGAAAAAGAAATGGGCCAGCTCAAGACGGAGGGGGCGCTGGTTTGTGTGACGGCTGGCTGGTCGGTTTGTGTACGTATACATACAGCTTGTATACAAAGGTAATTATATATTATGGTTAAATGATCATACTGTCCTTATACGGTTTGTGAGAGGGGTCTACCGAAGCAAGGCTCCTAGTGGACGAGAATGGAACCGGCCTAATACTAGCAATTATTTGATGAGTGAGCTTACCACTACCACCAGCGGAAGGCAGCGGCTGCCATGTGAGGAGGAAGCCATCGCTGATGAGCTCCTCATAGTCTCTGGCGTTCGCCTCGCCAGACGGCACCAGCACCGGTAGGGCGGTGGCGTTGCAGCCCTCCAAAGCGTATCCGCTGTTCATCCCGCCAGTCGTGTTGTACCACCCTCCCGCGCGGACAAAGGTGTTGTTCCCGCACACCGTCTCCACCAGCCCTGCTCGGGCTGGCGGTGGCTTGGCGCAGTTGTAGAAGATGAGGTTCTGGTTAAGGGGGCTTATTGAGAATGGAGGCTCAATTTTGGTGGCGGCGTCGGCCATCGGGACATGGCAACCTTGGCGGCTCAAATTGTTAAAGCCCCCGAGCTTGAGGATGTCAGAAACAACCATGGAGCTGTTTAAGGGGAAGATGTTGAGGATCTGGAGTCCGTACCCAGAGTGGTACCCGAGGTACGGGACACCGTCGGTACAGTGGACCTGGAAACCGAGCTGCATACATGTGTTCTCCTCCGACCCTGAGACGAGCCCGAACGGGGTAGCAATGGTCATGTTGCCGCATCGCTCGGGCGAGCAGCCTTCTGCTTGCACCCCTAGTTTAGTGGCTGTCATAAGAAAGAAAGATACACACAACAGCAAGAGCAAGCTGGCTAGAGACATTGAAACTACTACTGCTGCTACTACTACTACTACTATTATTACGATAGGAGATCTGCTCTGGTGATGACTTAGTACGTACTCGAGATGGTACCAAGACAAGTGAATGACGGTGAGACGGGGAATGGAGGATAGAATTCTCAAAAGCGAAAAATCATTCAGGAGAGAACCCAAGGGACAAGTCTTAACCACTAATTGATGAAGGGACGCGATGCGACTGCTAGGGGACTAAGATTGACTCGATCCAAGTGTGCTCAGCACCACTCAATTTCCAAGGGCAACGGGTTGCAGGGGAGAAGGGGAAAACGTCTGGCTGGCTACATGTCAAGGGCTAGGGTTTGGGTGATCCCTGCTAGCTATATGAGGGACAGAAGGGTATATGCACACGAGTAATGCTAGAGATACATAGAGCTACACGGAATTTACAAACTGGTGAGTTTTGATTGGAGATTAAGGGGACGAGGGGTCCATCCCGTGAAAATCAAGGGGGGGGGAGCAATAATGCTAAACATACATAGGTTTACATGCTTTTACACGCTGACTAGGATCTTTTCAAACTAACTAACCTCTCCCCCCGTGATTTTCATGGGGGTGGGCCCCTTCTCCCCCGTAATCTCCAATCAAAATCCACCTTTATGTAGAAGCTTGTATCTTTTTGTACGTGTAACATTACTCGAGGGTGGAGAGGATGGTTAGAAAGAAAAAAAAAATCTAGTCAACGTGTAATTGCGTGTAACTCTTTGTATGTTTAGCATTATTGATATGCACACGGAGGCAAGATCAATCTTGTGGGGCACATTGGAACGGCAGTGCCATAGTACATAGGAGATGAGGTTCTGCTCGTGACTTGTGTGGATGTTACCAAGACAAATTTAACTGGCAAAAATAAAAAATAAAGATTGGTAGCATCTTCAGCAGTTGGATTCTTTCGGAAGATATTTGTCCAGCACAACCCATGGGATGACAGTCTTGACCAGTCAATGAGGTGCCGCAGCGAACGAAGATGATTACAGGTAGCATGGACAGAGACAATTTGGTGCGCTCGTCACTGGTCACAAGAGTGTCTTTGTCATCAGTTGATGCATTTGCTGGTGTTTTTAAAATCCTGACTTGTGACATGCTGGTACCCACAAACACAAGTTGCTCATTTCTCGTCCAAGATGATGCCCCCAAGAAGGAGGACGACTCCGAAGCCTCTGTCATCGTCCGATCCGAGAATCTCAGATCCAGGGTTTCCCCCGTATCAGCCGGAACGATGTGAAGATGATTGCAACCGACGATGCCTATGACAAGGAGACGACGCCTGAGACCCCGACATCGTCCGCTATGACCGAGGTCGACACGGTTATTACCGGCATCCGCGCCACTCTGAACCAACATCTGTCCGGATCTTCACTGAGCCACACCATGATGACGCGTGCAAGCCGTCGGGGAACCCTCCTCCATAGCCGACCCCTCATCGCACCGTTGGCCGTCCACGAAAGCCGACGTCAGATCTGGGTGGGATCCAGATCCATGGTCGCCGCCACGCCCACCATCGCCAGAGAAGCAGGTTCCCTCTAGCCATGGGGGCAAACTCCGCCGCCGCATGACCGGGGATGCCACACTGGTCACTGCACGCATGCTCCCCACTGGCCTCGCCCCAGCCGATCCATGGGGTTTGCCGCTGCGTCCAGCGCACCGGCCCCTTCGGTGTCAGGCCCGCCGCCATAAGGGCAAAGTGTTGCAGCCGAGATAATTTCCTCTTGAACAGGGCACTACTGAAAATCGTCTGAATGCCAAATGTATTTTTTGCTGAGTGCACGCAAAAAACACTCAGCAAAGCACCCGAATTCGACAAAGTCACACGTTTGCCGAGTGTTTGACATGCACTGACAAACCAGGTGACACATGTCCATAGTCGCCATGGTTGATAAGAGGGTAACGGTACGGTTATCTTTGTCTGAGTGTCCAACAATAGCACTGGGCACATTGTTTTTTTATCCTTTTTTCGCTTCCTTATCTTATCTTTTTTTTTTACTTTCATGGAATATAGGTGTCAAGAAAGAATTTGTCAGGTTCATAGGCGAATCGACCGCTGCTTCATGCGTTGGCTTCGAAACTTTTTACACACCATTACACCTAACATGTTAAAAATTTGTACTCCCTCCGATCCATCGTACAACTTCGTACTAGACCAGCGTCAATTAATATGAATCGGAGAAAGTATTTTTTTTCTAGGTCCGATTGCTATATTTAAGTCATTAAGTGTATTTCTAGGCATTTAATAAAAGAATTCAAATTTGAACTGCATGTACGTGAAATTATGGCCAGAAGTGGGTTGGATATTTTGATTGGTGGTCTTTAGGGTATGTTTAGCCCTTATACCACAAAATAAAATGAGTGTCAAACACCAGGGTACTAATACGACCTCATGTAATTTAGCTACCATGATTTCTATTATTCCGCCCGCTGCTGATAATGTATGCGCACATGGAGCGTATATACGGAGACAAACAAGTTGGAGTCAAACACCACCACGTTTCAACATGCATGGTCTAATGCAGAAGTTCTCTTTTTATACCATGCAACAGGTGCAACCAATTGAAAAGAAACATCACTATCTTTCCAGAAATCAGTTTGATGGCGTGACTTAGTAATCCAAGGTAGCATACCTCTGCAGATTTCATCTAACAATCTCATCTGATAAATACCAAACAGGCCAGATCAATGTCGTAATTTGGTAACTATCGAAATGGGACAGAACATGCTAATTAATAGGGGAAATTCCAACATCTTTCCACAATCCGAAGTGCTTAGGCCTTGTTTGGTTCATAAGTCCTAGGACTTTTTTTAGTCCCACAAGTCCCAAGTCCCTAATAAGTCCTTATCTGTTTGGTTCCTGGGACTTAACATGGACTAAAAGACCATATTACAACTATAAGTCCCTATAAGTCCCTCCTTGAGAGTCTTATTTCATAAGTACCAAATGCCCACTTTAAGTCCCTCCTGTTTGGTTTAGATGAGACTTAAAGGGACTTATTTAAGTCCCTACACCAATAAATCCCTGTAACCAAACACCCCCTTAAACATGCTCAAACACCGAAAAAGGGTTTCCCCCCGCTTTTGTATTACAAAGCAGCCAACCGATACAACCAATGATAGGTGGGCGGAAGCAGCACAGACACGCCCAAAAGAAGTGAAAGAGAAAGACAAAAGAAACAAATGCCGACAACGGCAGATCGACAAAAACAAAGAAGCCTCACGACCACTGCGCCCGCCGGGAATCTCCCACCTAGCTCCTAGACTCCGAAGCGCCGGTACCAATCAACACCTTCAAGAAGGGATGCGACAGTGACGATGCTGCTGCCAAGGGTTTCCCCCGATACGGGACGAGGGGAGAGGAAGGGTAGCCCCCGACGCCCTCTAGGGAGGTCCGGTGGCACCCTCAGGCGCCACCGCGTCGGTGTCGGTCAAGCCGACTGGGATTTCTCCCGATCCCAACCTTCACCTCGGGCGCTCTGGAGCCTGCCACCAGACCGACCACCATCCTGCACCAACATGGTCTTGAGGCTTCTACCCCGTCTTACCACGGCAACACGAAGAGAGGTCTGCACACTGAAGAGCAGGAGCCGGGACTAGAGGCAACAACACCGTCGGCATGCGGGAGGGCTCAACCTCCACCGTCAATGACGGTAGCCGACCGGACGCAATAGCAGGAGCATACCAGGCCCACAGGCCTGGCCGGGCCCTCATAGGCCCGTGAAGCTCCCACTGCCCCCGGTCCAAGCTGCTCCTCCTCCCCACCGTGCAGAAGACACCGAAGCCGCGCCGGAGGTCGGCCTGCTAGGACCCGCAGGGCCCAGATCTGGGCCGGGGGCGCACCGCCGACCACACCGCACCACCAAGCCATCCCGCAGCCAAGGAGCCGCGCCGCCACCTCACTCGCTGCCGGCCACCACTGCAGGGCCGGACCGCCGCCAAACCGAGCTGCACTGCCGCCGTCTCCTGCCCCGGGAAGAAGAAACGAGCGCGCGGGGACTGGAAGTCCCGCCGCCGCCGACACCACCCTGGCCAACGCCGGTGGCGACCGCCGGCAGCGACGGTGAGAAAGGGGGGTCGCCTAGAAGGAGGAGGCTGCG